AATTTAGTTTTTGAACACAAAAGAGGTAATGAAGTATTTTTTAAACGTTTCGGTTGTAATCAAGCGTAACCCCCCCCCCCTTACTTATACACAAAAACTGTAAAATAATGCTGTATAACAATTTTTCAATTTAACGCTCTCGTTTTGGCCAGCTCGATTGAACATTCTTTATAATTTTTGTCTATTTTATTTTTAAATATAGGTAGGAGTCCCGCTCGAAAAGTACAAGACCTTTTGGTATTTCTGGCCAGTAACGATAAGATTAATGACAACCCGAAGGTAAGACAGATAAAAAAAAAAATTGAACAATTTCAAATTAATCTGATTTTCTTATTTTCCATACGCGTTTTTTTACAAAGATTCAAAGTTTATCGTCATACGAAGTAAAAATTTTCGTGGGCTTGTTTAACAAATACGACCAATGGTTCGACCATAGCGGACTACTTGACCACGACGAAGTAAAAAAAGTTGTTAACGCTTTAAATCTAGAAGATGACGTCGAAAAAAATTTAGTAGACAAAATAAAATACATATTTAATGCCTTAATCAGAGATTCAGTTGACTCGATTCTATTAATATCGAGTACCGTATTATTGACTTAACGAAGCTTTTCGAATTATATTTTTTTAGTTTGATAATTTAAATTAATCTTTATAGGTGAAACAATTAACGCCCCGAAATTCTTGGAGGCCTTTTTGGAAGTAAAACCAAAAGTAAGGATATGGTTTCGTTAAGGCACATAACTATGATTTGGCCTGACATGGTGTTTGAACATGTCTAAGAAAAATATGTTTTATAATTTTAGCGCATTGTAGCGTTTAAAAAAAAAGTAACTCTATTAGTGAACCTAATATCTACATGATTTAAATACTTGTACATAGGGCAAAGGTCTGGACAAAAAACGAATTCTGGAACTCATCAATTTATATAAGGGTCACAAAATAGCTGGCGATTACATTGACCCTGTTGAAATAGCAAAATTCTTCAAAAACTTATCTATAGTTAAACAAGAACACGAAGGCCTTTTGGTTTTTGATTCCATACGTAAGAATACATTTTTGATATTATCATTTACTTATTCTTATTTTTAATGAACAAATTTATCAACACTAGTTTTTTGATTCGAATTATTCGTTATCAATATTATTTTCAATATGTGATTTATCAATTTTGAAATCAATTAAGATAATTTGTCATCTATGAATAACAAACAAATTACATTTTTATTTATAGAGTTTTAATGTTACTGTTTTCATTTATGATTTTTTATTCATTATTAACGAAATGATTGTAATTTAATTAAAATATTTTCTATGTTTTATTTTTGTTGAAAAAAATGTTTCCCGACTGATTCTATGAATATTTTTTAATTAAAGAAAAATGTAAGTCTTATTTGATTATAGGAACCGCTCCTTTTCAACTGAAAGAGCTGTTGCTTGTTTCAGCAGAATACAACAAAGAGGCCAACCAAGAAGTAATATTATATTTTTTTCTTTTACTGTTGTCTTTAATATACTATTTTGAAGACGCACCCATCCGTTTTTTAGAAGTAAAGTTTAGCACATTTAGTCGAAAAATTATAATTTAGAGCTTAAACTATAGTATACACACATTAATCGAGCAATGATTATTGTTAATTGGTTAGAGGTTTTTCGTTGTCAGCCTATCTCAGTAATTTCTATAGATAAACATCACATTTGTTATCAATTGTAATGTTTTCCTCGAATCAATGCTAGAGTGTCGATGGATTCAACTGAATTTTTAATAACTTATTTAAAAAATACCAAAAAACCTAAACAATAAAGATGCATAGACAAAATATTATTGGATCTACCAAAATTCTGTCATAGATAATATGCCCATGCTACTTCAAAATATGACGAATGGGTATCGTTCTCTTGTGCAACACATAATCGAAAGAGGTACTTTTTTAATTGTTTAGAATGGACCCGTATATTCAACCGATTCAGTTAGAGATGTTTTATGGAGTTTCTCTAAATATGACGTCAACCAAAACGGTTTAATCGATAAGGAAGAACTAAAAGGAATTGAAGAACGTCACTACCAGGACGAAGACGTTGACTCTATCTTTGAAGACTTCGATATCGATAGTAATATTGCAAATTATAGCGTTAACAAAATGTGGTTAACTTTATTAAGTTACTACCATACGTAGTGGGGAATGAGCATAGAGTAGGTTCAGACCGTTTTTACATGTAAAGATATTTTAACAGTTGGAATTAATAAAATAAATCCCGAGAAACCGCCGTGGTTAATATCTACATAAAACAAAGGTTATTAAATCGAAGATTTTTTCACGATAAACAAAAATATCATACTAAAGATTTTTAAAAGAAAAAAAGGCGTATCTTCATTAAAAAAAAACACATTTTTAGTAATTTTCAAGATTTAGACGCGGTGGAAAGTAGTGATTTCACAATTATACAAAGTTGAAAGATGTTTCAACAATAGTTATGATATTATAGTAATCAAAATGTTGGAGCAGACACCAAATATAAGTAACTTATAAAAATACTATACTAAAAATATTGCAATTTTTAGGAGACCAACATTTGAACATTGCAGAGTACTGTAGGATGGAATTTGCGGAGCATGAGCGAATGAACGCTGAAAAGGCAGAGCACGAGTTAATAGATGCTGAAATAGCGGAGCGTGAAGATACAACGCTGAAAAGGAGGACAGCAGTGACAGAACCCTGAAAAAAATTAAGTGTTTTTTTCTGAATTAAATAATATAATAATTGTTATACATTTGAATATATTTTGGGAGTGCTTTAATTATGGGTAATAAGTTTTAAATTTGACGTTTTAAGATTTTTTTCGCAGCTGTATAATTTTACAAATATGTTATATCATTTCATAAAACAATAATTAAACATTTTATTAAATATAGTAAAAATGATATTTTTATTTCGAAATTATTATAATTATATATCCTGGGCCCTGCAAGCCATACAGTTCCTAAAAAACAAAAAACCAAAAGTTAACATGTTTTTCGAAAACGGTATAAGAATATGGGTACTAAAAATTAAAAACAATCTTACAATATTTAAAAAAAAAGTAACACTATGAATATAAACTGTCAAAATTATAACAACTGTTGTTATCATAATCAATAAAATATAAATTTTAACAAACAAAATAAACTAAAAGCAAAAAAATTATCCACCAATTAAACTTAAACAAAACATCAAATGTATACTTTTCCAGTGCATTCCTAACTCATATGTAAATAAATTGTGTTTTTAATATTAATAATAATTTAATTCTTACCTAAGGAATTAGTTAGATTATTAGTTACAAATCTCAAGAATACAATTATTTGTAAGTATAAAGTATACAATAACAGTATATAAAATAATACTTTGTTCGTTTTAAGGAATGACTTCTTGGTATTGTTTTATAGTTTCACGGTATTTTTCCTCACCTTAAATCGTGTAAAAAATGTTTGAAAAAGTAAAATAGTTGTCCATAATACTGAATTAGGAAAAAATAAGAAAAATCTGTTTTTATTAAATAGTATATTTTACTTAAAAAAAATTGTGTGATTATTTGCCAGTCGGTATTAAATAAAACCTATAGTTTACATCTGGGTCATCTAGTTAGGCTTCTAGATCAACCTATTGTTTCTGTAATGTGTACTGTATACTTATTGGTTTTACAATGATGTGCAGTTGTATTTTTTAGCCTATACTCATTGTATTATTTTTAAAGAATTTACTATTTCAAATTGTAATATGATTATATACAAAGCATAATATGAAAGAAATTAAAAACTAGTACATATTTTAGGTTATGTGTTATTTTATACGATTATTTAAAATATCATTTTCTTTCCTTAAGATATATTAGGTTTGATAGGACCCAAGGCTTATTGTTAGAACAACAAGTTTTTCAAAAGCGTACCAAGTAATAAAAGCTACGAATAGTTTCAACAAAAAATAGTTTCATAGCAACATGTGTACACGTGTAAGTCGAAACAGCGGCTGCCTACATACAAAATGGTGTTTTGTTTTCAATTGAAATACTTATTACAACATGTATACTATATAGTGTGTTTTAAGCAACACGAAATACTTCAAACAAATGACCATTAACTTAAACAATGGTAACAACTAGCTAACAAGAGTACCAACTAGTTAAAATATCTTTTTCTTTATTTAGACTTTTTTGCTAAAGTTGTCCATTTTGACCGTAGTCAATTTCTAGGTTGCTTTGTGTGACACGATCCAACAGTCAACCGATAATTGAAAATATTTTCATTTTATAGTTAATTATGATGGCAATAATTTGCTATAGACGGACGATCAACGGTAATCTTATTCACCCTAATGATAAAAATCCATTTTCAACGACATTATTGTTATTAGGAGAATGTTTTTTAATCGACACTTGTATTTCTACCATTTCCTTTTTTATCAAAACGGTAATTTAGACATTTGTATCACTTTCAGTTGTAGTAATTCTTATAAATCCGCGACCCTTAAATATTTCTATGCACCGTACCTCGATCCCCACTGTACTGGCATTTTTAAATTTGCAATTTGCACTACTTTGTTATGACATTGCCTTCAAATATAATTTTTTATAAATCACAGGTTGACAATATTCTCGCAATAAACATACTTTTTTATAATATGTGTACACAGATATTTCAATTTACATATTTTTTTATTGTCGTTTTAAATATTCAAAAAATAACAATACTTGTATGTACAAGTTGGGTGACTATACAAATTATAGAAGGCTTTTTTCATCTTTGAATAAATGTACTTAATTGCATAATAATAATATAGTGTATAAAAATTATTTTTGTTATACCACATATTGCCACATAGAACCACCATATTGCGGTTTTATTTTACATAAGTAAATAAGCAGTACTTTTTGTTGATTACACCTGTTTTTACAACTGTAAAGCCAATCGTTAAGTATAAATTATGTAAATAAAATTAAACGAAAAACGATTACCTACCAAATTGTTCAAATCTGTACTCATATTGTTTTAATCAATCGCATCGTAGTTACCTCGAGTCGAATCGCATTTCAGTGTTCATCCGGCTTCTGTATCAAAGATTTTCTTCTGGTTCAACAAGGGGTTTGAAAAAAAAAACAACCATTATGCATTTAAAATGTGCTGTTATTCTCTGCACATTATACTTCATGACCGCCACACAGGTAAAAGTACATAATACTAAAAATGTCTATAGTTAATACTATTTAATATTATGATTGTACTTATAATACTTTATAGAGCATGGGACTCAATGAAGATCAAGTCAAAAACATTGTAAACACATTCAAAAGACACAATAACCGCATAGACTTAATTACCTCAGCACTATGCAGGGAATATAATTTAGATTTTGAACACAAAAGAGGTAATGAAGTACCTTTTGAACAGGTTTTAAACGTGTCGGTTGTAATCAAGTGTTACCCCTACCCTCCCCCCTTAAACACAAAAACTGTAAAATAATATCCTCCAGTATTTAAGCAATTTTTCAATTTTACACTCTCGTCTTGGCTGGCTCGATTGAAAATTGCTTATAACGTTTTTCTTTTTAACTATAGATAGGAATGGAGCTGAAAAAGTACAAGATCTTTTGGTATTTCTGGCCAGTAACGATAAGATTAATGATAACCCGAAGGTAATAACGAAAAAAAAAAATAACTGAACAATTTCAAATTAATCGGATTTTCTTATTTCCATACATGTTTTTTTACATAGCTACAAAGTTTATCGACATACGAAGTAAAACTTTACTTGGGCTTGCTTAACAAATACGATCACAGCGGACTACTTAACTACAACGAAGTAAAAAACGTCATTGGCGCTTTAAATCTAGAACAAGAAGTCGAAAAAAAATTAGTTGAAGAAATAGATAACATTTTTATTATTTTGATACAAGATTCAATTGCAGTCTCGGTTCTACATATATTGAGTACCGTATTAAATTGAGTTAAGGAAACTTTTAATTATTTTTCTTAGGTTGATAATTTAAATTAATTTTAACAGGTGAAACAACTAATGCCCCAAAATTCTTAGAGGTCTTTTTGAAAGTAAAACCAAAAGTAAGAATATGATTTCGTTAAAGGCTCGAAAAAATACACAAAACTATGATTTTGCCTGACATGGTGTTTGAACATGTCTAAGAAAAATATGTCTTATAATTTTAGCGCATTGTAGCGTTAAAAAAAAAAGTAACTCTATTAGTAAACTTAATATCTACATGATTTAAATACTTGTACATAGGGCAAAGGTCTGAACAAAAAACGAATTCTGGAACTCATCAATTTATATAAGAGTCACAAAATAGCTGGCGATTACATTGACCCTGTTGAAATAGCAAAATTTTTCAAAAACTTATCTATAGTTAAACAAGAACACGAAGGCCTTTTGGTTTTTGATTCCATACGTAAGAACACATTTTTGATATTATTATTTACTTATTCTTATTTTAAATGAACAAATCTATGAACACTAGTTTTTTGATTCGAATTATTCGTTATCAATATTATTTTCAATATGTGATTTATCAATTTTGAAATCAATTTAGATAATTAATTTAGACATCTATAAATAACAAACAAATTACATTTTTATTTATAGAATTTTAATGTTACTGTTTTCATTTATTATTTTTTATTCATTATTAACGAAATGATTGTAATGTAATTTAATTATTTTCTATTTTTTGTTTTAACGGAAAAAAATGTTTTCCGATTGATTCTATGAATATTTTTTAATTAAAGAAAAATGTAACTCTAATTTGATTATAGGAACCGCTCCTTTTCAATTGAAAGAGCTGTTGCTTGTTTCAGCAGAATACAACAAAGAGGCCAACCAAGAAGTATTATTATTTTTTTTTTTTAACTATTTTCTTTAATATGCTATTTTGAAGACGCACTCACCCATTTATTAAAGAAGTAAAGTTATAGGAAATTTTTCGATAAAGTTCAAATTTTGAGCTTAAATGATGTACACTCAATCAATCGATCAATGAGGATTATTTATTGGTTTTAGTTTTTTGTTGTTAAACTGCCTCAGTTATTTCTATAGAAAAACATCACATTTTTATCAATTGTATTGTTTTCCTCGAATGAAAGCTAGAGTGTCGATGGATTCAACTGATTTTTAATAATTTATTTAAAAAATATCAAAAAAAACCTAAACAATAAAGATGTATACATAAACTAATATTAAATCTACCGAAAAATTGCCACAGATAATATGCTATTTTTCTATGGAAATTCGGTAAACTCAATACATCATAGCACTTGTCCCATAGGGTATATTTCATTCGTGCAAACCATGTTACCACACTTCAAAATATGATCAATGGGTACCATTCTCTTGTGCAACACATAATCGAAAAATGTATTTTTTTAATTTTTCAGAATGGACCCGTATATTCAACCGATTCAGTTAGAGATGTTTTATGGAATTTCTCTAAATATGACGTCAACCAAAACGGTTTAATCGATAAGGAAGAACTAAAAGGAATTGAAGAACGTCACTACCAGGACGAAGACGTTGACTCTATCTTTGAAGACTTCGATATCGATAGTAATATTGCAAATTATAGCGTTAACAAAATGTGGTTAACTTTATTAAATTACTACCGTACGTAGTGGGGAATGGGCATAGAGTAGGTTCAGACCGTTTTTACATGTGAAGATATTTTAACAGTTGGTATTAATAAAATAAATCTCGAGAAACCGCCGTGGTTAATATCTACATAAGCAAAGGTTATTGAATCGAAGATTTTATAACGATAAACAAAAATATCATACTAACGATTTTTAAAAGAAAAAAAGGCGTATCTTCATTAAAAAAAAACACATTTTTAGTAATTTTCAAGATTTAGACGCGGTGGAAAAGAAGTGATTTCACAATTATACAAAGTTGAAAGATGTTTCAACAATAATTATGATGTTATAGTAATCAAAATGTCGGAGCAGACACCAAATAAAAAACTTAACTTATAAAAATACTATACTAAAAATATTGCAATTTTTAGGAGACCAACATTTGAACATTGCAGAGTACTGTAGGATGGAATTTACGCAGCATGAGCGAATGAACGCTGAAAAAACAGAGCATGAGCGAATGGACTCTAAAAAGGAGGAGCATGAGGTAACAACGCTGAGAAAGAGGATAGTAAAAAAAGAACGCTGAACAAAATTAATGTGTTTTTACAGAATTAAATGTTATATTAATCGTATTACATACGAATATTTTTTAAGAGTGCTTTAATTATGGGTAATCAGTTTCAAATTTGATGTTTTAAGATTATTTTCAAAGCTGTATAATTTTACATATATATTTTAGTTTATTCTTTAAACGAATAGACAGCGATATCAACTCATATTAATATAAGATGTTATTTTTTTTTTGTCAATTCATGAAACAATAATTAATCATAATATAATGTAATACCGTAAAAATGATATTTTTTTTCGTCATTACTATAATTGTCTATCCTAGGCAAGCAAAATAAAAACAGTTAATATGTTTTTCGAAAACGGTATAAAAATATGGGTACTAAAATTTAGAATTTATATTACAATATTTTAGGAACAGTAACACTATGAATATAAACTTCCAAAATTATAATAACTGTTATTATCATAATCAATAAAGTATACATTTTTACCCACAAAATAAACTAAAAGCAAAACAAATATCCACCAATTAAAATTAAAGAAAACATCATAATCCATAAATTTCCAATGCATTCCTTATGCATTATTTTGTATTCCTAATGCAAACTTAAACGGGGCCAATGGCCACAAATATATATACATACATGATTATAGTTTTCAATATATTCTAATTTCTCGTGTATCCGTCCCCAAATAAACGACAATTCTGGGAGAGGTTAACCAAGTTTACTTTGTAATAGACGAGTTTTCAAGTATACTGTGAGACAATTGAACTCCATCAGTTACTTTTAACACATTTACCGAATAATAGATAGTATAATATAAATTATTTTTAAAACTATAATTTTTGATGCATAAATTCTTTTTAATTGGATAACTTACTAGCGTTGAACCGCGTTGGACGCGTTGGTTCTCTATTACTTGTAAGAAAATGTCCATATAGACTTTAGTGGGGCTATTTTAGAATGATATAATCAAAAAAACTGGCCAGTTTATTTTAATTGTTGGTTAAATAAATTACATCGGTTATGATTTGTAATTACTAGCGTCATTGTAAAATCATTAGAATCTGACCTCAATGGAAAAAAAGAAAACTGTCTATTACAGACGCCGTCTTTGATCTTCTTGGAAATAACAAGTTAAAAGATATTATTTTGGAGGCATGGCGAGGCTCAGTGGAAACCTCAGCTGCCGCAAGGCAATATTTAATTACATAGTATAATATTATAAGAAGTGAGCTAAAGAGTTTATTTAAATCGGACCCAACAGGCATTAGAGACTTCTTTACCTAAGCTATCACAAGTCAATTATATTGCACGTTACTCTAAACTCGTTTAATTGTGTAGGTATTATAATGTTATTTTATACACATATAAATGGGTATTTTATGTTAATCTATATTGTATTGTTTTTTAGCTAATTTTGCAAACTGACGCTTAATAAATAGTTTCTCTTCAGATGTAAATCCAAACCCTTTCTAGCAAATCATATAAATAATAGAATCATTATATAATTAATTATGATTATTTTTGTGAAAAATAAATAGCTTTATAAATTCTAATTGAATAAGATATTAGTAAAAAAACCAATATTCAGAAATCAGGATATAAAATTAGCGCCTTTTAGTAGTTTAACTGTTTTTGTCCCAAACATACTGGTTTGTTTTATACCATAATAAAGTACCAACACTTTGGTTAAATAGTATATTACCTTAAAATATTTAGGGTTACTTAAATTTAATAGTAATAATACAATTGATTTGAAACTATTCATATATAAGTAACAAAAAAGTAATTTAGTTGGATGTTTTATCGGAATATATTAATATATTTTAATTTTACACAATGATAAAAAATTAATCATTTAAAACAATAATGAAAATACATATCCCTACCTCTTTACATTGAGTAGGTTAAAATACCACGAATAATTGTTTTTATTTAAAAACTTGTTGTTTTAAATTCGGGTATATGATAAAGTATTTATTTTACAACGAATGAGGTAAGTTTTTTTTTTTTTTAATAAGAAAAAATAATGATTTTAAAATTATGTATGTGATTTTACTTTATATTAAATGGAAGATTACTTAAAACGATACAGTATACAGTTATAATAAACTTTTAAATTATTTAAAGCATTATAAATCAAATTATTTTAAAGTAAGACTCGTAAAAGGTGATACCAAAATGTTCTCAACAACATTGCTTGAATATATTTTTACCGGATTGAATATCATCAAAAAACCTGGCTCAACAATCATATCAGCAGGCATATGGTAATTATCAGATGCGAACACGATTAACGCTTCTTCTTTATTATCACTCAGAACACCCGGAATACGCCTACATATATATTTACTTAAAAGTATCTTCTTTTCTTCATTATATTGCAATTGTGTACCCGATATACCAGATGGCCAGCTATTTATATTATATCTTTCTAAAATAGCCCTCGTAAGTCGATATGGAAAATCTATTTTCCCCAGTAGATAATCAACGCGGTCCTTTAAACGAAAACGACGGTTAAATTTTTTTTTATAATTCGTTATTTTATGCAATAATTACCCATAAATATTTGTTAGGCGACATTAGCAATAAATCCCATCTAACAACTTCTACCAGTTCCAAGGTATCCGGCACACTTTGAAATTCATTAAAATCTTTAGAATACAATGCTCCCGGTTTGAATACCATCAAAAATCCTGGATAAGCGATCATATCAGCAGGCATATGCGTATTATCAGCAGCGAACACGATTACTGCTTCTTCTTGATTACCACTGAGAACACTCGGAATACGTCTACATATGTATTTTTTTAATAGACTTCCCATTGCGTCTCGATTGCAAGTGAGAAACCCCAGAATACCTCTAAAATTGTCATTATTGACAGGTCTCTCATTTTCCCAATTACATATTACCTCGTGGTAAATACCAGATGGCCAACTACTTTTACTATATCTTCCAGTAATAGCGTCCACACTTCCGCGGGACCAACTTTTCCGTAACAATTGATGATCAGCGCTTTCCTTAAAATGAAAACAACGGTTAATTTTGTACAATTTTATTTTATTAAAAAATTACCATAAGGGAATTGTCAGGTGATGTTATCAATAAATCCCATCTAAGAACTTCTACTATATCGAAGCATCTTTCTACACCGACAAATTGATTATCAATATTATAATACAATGCTCCCGGATTTAGAAACATCATAAATCCCGGTTCAGCGATCGTATCAGCAGGCATATGCGGATTATCAATAGCTAACACGATTACTGCTTCTTCACGATTGCCTTTGAGAAAACCCGGAATACGCCTACAATTGTAATTTTTTATACGTCTCTCCTTTTCATCATTACATATTTCCTCGCTCGATATACCAGATGGCCAGGTACTTAGATTATATTTTTCAACAAGTTCGTCCACAAGCTGAGTTGACCACATCCTTTTAATCAATAAATCCTTAACTTGTTGCTTAAAATTATAACAACGGTAAGTATTGTTTTTTTTTTAAAGAATTTTATACAACAATTACCGGAAAGGAAACGTCAGCCGACTTTAACAAATAACCACAATTTTGAATTTCAACTCTTTCAAAAAATAATACCCAATGCAATAGGTCATGTCTTGAATAATCGGAACTGTCCAGTCTGTCTTTTTTTATTTCAATGGTCTAAAAATAATAAGTGTACGTATATAATTATCAAAAATAAATACTGAGTAAATACCAATTTTAAGTTAACAGACGAAAAAAAAATATTTTAAATAGTCGTCCTGTTCTTGTGCATCGGGAGATTCTGTATAATGGATGTAGTTAGGATCCCAAAGTAATTGTTAGGTCCAACCAGAAATGTGTATGGAGAATACCAAGTATCATGTAAAAATAGAGAATACAGTGTCCGAAGCATTTTATGTAAAGACAGGTCTGAAACAGGGAGATGCACACTTTATGGATGCGAAACCTGGACGACCACCAGCAATACAGAAAGGAGACTGAAAACGTTTGAGAATAAAAAATGGAGGACAACTTGCGGTCCTATCTTTGATAACAGAACAGATACGTTGAGAAGAAAATGTAATCCAGAACTACAGGAAGAGTTGGGACTACCACCAGTCAACAGCTTTATACGTGGCCAGCGAATACAATGAATTGGTCACATAACGCGCAGAAATGAGAAAGAAATGGTTACAGCGGTATTATAATAGAAACCTACGGGGAAAAGACCTCACAGGCCGCCTAGGGAGAGATGGAAGGAAATCTCAAGAAAATAGAAGTACTAGAGTGGAGAACGATAGTTCATAACAGGGAAGAATGGAGGCAGATCGTGATGGCAGCGAAAACTCTTAAAGAGTAATAAACGCCAGCAGAAGAAGAAGAAAAAGTCGTCCTGTTCTTTGGAAAATTTCGATTTTGTATGCTATACAGGGTGTTTTAAAAATAATGGTTGGGTTAAGAATGGTGGGGTTTCAAATGGCTGTAGGTTGTTAAGTATTGGACCTACAGCGCTCTGGCAGGGCTTGAATGAAAGAAGGTGTTGTCAAGTTTTGTAAGCTTATCCCGGTATGTCTTTCCACGTTCCCGTTTGTTCCGCCGGCCTTCAATGTTCAGTTTGTTAAGATGGCGCCCGCACAACAGAAGTGATTGAGTTCGCGAAGCTTAATTCAGTTACGACTGTGAAACATCTAGTGGTAGTCATTCAAAACTGGACAACTCTCTTTTTCATTCAAGCCCTACCAGAACAGTGTAGATCGAATACTTCACAACCTACAGCTGTTTTAAACCCCACCATTCTTTTTGAGACACTCTGTACAGTGCGTTTAACAAGGAATATTTTAAACAGATGACCATTTACTTGAACAATGCCCCAAATTTAAATTGTCTAGAAGTGATTTATTTTTTATTTTACCCCTCCCTCTTAAAAGCCATTACAGTGGGTTCAACGCATAGTAAGATGATTTAATGGTATTGTAAACAAGTAGGAAAAAAATTCACTTCGTTTGAAAATTTAAAAAAATTGGCGTTATCCTAATTTCAACCCAGGGATAATGTGATAATTGATGGATGTTCTCGTACAATTAAAAAACTAAGCCATTATTCTACTTTTAAGGGTGTCGAATATGTATCTAACGGTGTAGTAAATAAGTAGAACAAACAAATCACACGGTTTGGAGTTTTTAAAAATTGTTACTTTATTTTTACCTTGTTTGTA